ACTCACTATTCAGTTTTAACGGGTCATGTGGACATGGTGTTGGCATGAGAGCATCAGCTACGTTCTGATGAGGTTGTTATCATGAGTGAATAAAAGCAAATGTGTTTCTAGTCACTCCTGATGGAATCGTTCATGCCGAGCACCGATGTTGGCTGCAGTCGTGCATGGTTTTGTCGTGCATGGCGGAAACCATCATCAGCGTTCACAACCGAAATATTTTTTCCTCACATCATTGTTGATACACATATCGCACGTTGTGTGAGAGAAGCACGTTACATAAAGGAAACGTGCAGCGTTGATGAGAAGATGGCTGATATCAAAATACTTATACGATCATCAGTGTATATCTTGTTAATTACATTCTAGACTGAAGGTCTGTGGGAAGACCCCTTTTGAACATCATTCACTGATAATATCCACGTGTGTGTGTGAAATATATTCAACCATAGAGCTTTAGTTCCTGTTACTAAAAGGCTAATAACGCTCGTGTATTAATGTTCGTGTAGATAGCCACCAACGCCACCTACCGTTTGATAATGGAGTTCCCCAGCAGCTTTACCCGACTAAAGGGATATATAGCGCGGCACGGCTATATAAATGATTTTCATGATCAAGTCGTTTCCGTAGCGATAATGCTGGGTGCTTGAAGGAAGTGTGAAGAGGATGAGGATGTTAGAATGACATCGCACTAGATATCAATCATGGTGTATGCGCGCGTGTGTGTATACGTGTCTGTGCGTGCGTGCGTGAGAGAGAGAAATGTGGATTGGTGGGTGAATGCACATGGTCAGCCCACGCTGAGCCCTAAGATATCAAACGTAATGTGAATTATAGAGCACTGAGCATGATTATCAAATACATGTGTCATAGGTGAGCTCAGAATAGGCCTATTATCTAATCGCCTGCTCATCCGGTCAGTCGTTGCCAACATGTAAACCGTCAGGGTTTATCCTTGGATTCCTTGGATTCCTTGTTACACGCACATGCACACACACGCATATATATATATAGAGTTCTTAGTACGCGAGGATTCCTATTGGCCGATGAGGTCACGCCCGGATACCTACTACATCTCATGAGCGAGCGGTTCTAATCAATGTGACCGTAATTACTTAAGTAGTGGTGCGCGTACAGGGCCGAGGGCGCGTGGTTGTGTCATTTAGTGATTGTACTAGCTAGCTACGTGGCCCCTGTCTCCCCTACAGACCTATAGTGGGGCGAGGGGCTGAATAGGTGGCGCTCTTGTTATACCTTCTTGCAGTGTTATACAGCTTTACGTGGAGATAGTGGCGCCACCACTGAAAAACACCGAGTGATGAAAAACATCGACTGGTGACATATTGTTTTCGATGTAGCCGCCCGTTCGTAATAGAGGACGGGGCTGAGGGAGGGGAGGAAATCGCTGTCTGATGGAAGAGATTATTAAGAATAACACGTTTATGCACGATGCACACAAGCCACTGTACTGATGACGGCCGTGGCTGCTTTATAATAGGTTGGCCATGTTTCTTCGGTACATCGGTCATGTTTGTTTTACACGGCGGCCTTGTTGGTTTTAAACGTTGGTCATGCTTTTTCGACACGTTGGCCATGTTAGTTTTACAGGGCGGCCATGTTTGTTCGACGTGCGTCATGAGAATTAATATAGACGCCTCAAGTTGTTTTCTCGTTCATTTAATGTTGCGGCAATATTTTAATTACTGTTTGTTTGTACCACGTATACATTCGGCGCTAGTTTTGTAAATATGACGTATACGGGCGTGTGTGCCTTTTAATAATTTTCACCCGTCTTTTTCTTCATTTTTTGGAAGTGGAATCAGTCCCATTGATATGTGTGTACTTAATTGTCATTCAGTAGGTGCACGAGCATGATTAATGTGCAGAAAAATCCATCATGTATACATAATATGGATTTTCTATTCATTTTACGCATGGTTGCTGCTATGATATAACAGCAGTAGACTGGATGGCAGAGCAGCGGATAATTGTGCTTTTAGATTTTGTGAGTGAAATCTGTGAAAAGATTTAACAAAAGGTGAAGCACATCGTAAATTTTCCACATTTGTTTTGGTAATAGCAGATCCTGATGACATGATAGTTCGCTGGTCACACATGCTGCATGGGATGAGAACCTTTGTGTACAATTAGGACTATGATTAGGAATAAAACTGCAAAGACAACGAGAAATGTACACATTATTGTGCGCTCCCACGAGAGAGAAACAGGACCAGCCACCTATGTAGTCATTGTTGTACATGTACTGCCTGCAGTTTTAGTAATGCAATAAATTCCTGTAAATATGGACCACAGCTATACGACATGGTTGCACCGCAATTTCCTTATGTCCGACATTTTTATTCATACATGCACACATGCTATTTAGGTGTCGTAGGTAGAGGGCGTCAGTCGGCAACAGACCTGAATAAGCATCGAACAGACTTTAATTAAGAGTATTTAGACAGTTTTGGCGCATATGCGACGTACACTTTATTCATACTAAATGATCACAGAATCCATCGAGGCCCGATCTTCAATCGAAACTTTTGCTAGATTGTTTTCAAGAATTTCCAGCATGTAGATTGTAGACGGATCCCGTTTTAAACTAACGTTAATGACTACTTCCCCTCGTCCTGCTCCTCCTCGGGGCATTAACCCCTTGCTTCTTCAGTCCGCTTCGCGAACGAAGAAATCATCGCGCCCAATCAGAGAGCTGTAACGGGCCAATCAGCAAGCAGGCTTTTGCCTGACGTCATTTCTCAAGTTATTCAAGTTGAATTTATAACTGCAATTAGTGCACGCTTCTGCCAAAGCTAGATTGTTTCCATTCATCAGGTATTCGCCTGGGGCGAAGTTTTGCCGTATTTACTTCTGTACGCTCGATTGCTCACCGCTAATCAGATTCTCCGCCATAACAACCGGTCGATCGATAACGAGGCTCGCGAACCGCTGACGCGGCGCTCGCTTACAGGCGTTAGCGTAGTGAAGCGGAACATACGCCTGTATCATACAGGTTAGTTTTAAACACAAAAACGGTGGACCGGTCAACATGGCAACGTCACAATTAAGGGCCTGTTCAAATGAAGTTAATTCTGAATTTATACATTTAATTTTGAGATCACATGTCCACCAATCCATTTAATAATTATGCGGTACCTAGTCGTACCAAACATCTCGCGAGAATCTGTTCGCGCATGCCGGGAATCTCCGAAATGAAAATTTGGAGGAAGACTTGAAAAAACTATACATTTAAAATGGTGAGCTCATACTCGTCGCGCGGTAATCTGATATCAAAAATGAATCTCGATGGCTCTTGTTAATAATAATAGAGTGCCCTGGCTAACATAACTAATAAAAAAATAATTAACCAGTAAGTGGCAACATGACAATACGCAGCTCTATGTCTAGCCTTTATGAAATGACTGAAGTAGGATTTTGTTATATTTTTAATTAAAATAACATACACACCAGTCAATTTACTAATGATGTTTGAGGTGCCTAGTTCTTCGAATATTCTAGACAGCAAAGCGAGAGACTTCAGTTCTACGAAACACTATTATTATGTTGAAATTATGCGTTTAACATGTAGAACACATACTCATCACGGTAACTTGGTATCAATTTTTTTAACACATTTTAACACACCATTAACTTTTTAACCAACCATTAACTTTACCCGTTAACCTTTTAACACACCATTAACGTTTTAACGTCATTATCTTCAACTATATTAACTTTTTAACCAACCATTAACTATTATTAACTTTCTAACACACCGTTAACGTTAACCAACCATAACTTTTTTAACACACAGTTAACGTTAACCATTAAGAGGGGGGGAACGGGTATTTTTGGGACGCGGGATTGGCCATTTTAATTAGCTGGGAACTGGGAAATGTGAGATAAATTTTCCGTGATTCGGGAACAGAAGTCCATCGGGACGTGGGAAAGACCCTCTAAAATTGTCTGGGATCTGGGAAATTTGTGTCAATTTTTCGGGATTTCAATTTCTGCAACATGGTAGGTCACTCACGCTGCTCTCTTCCTTCCCTGCCTGCATACATGCACGCTCTCACCGCGTATCCTAACCCTAAATCAAAACCCTCACCCCTGTCAGTTGTTATTCCTAACTCTAATGCTTACCCTAACCCTCACCCTAACTCTCACCCTAACTCTCACCCTAACCCTAACCCAACTATAACCCTAAACTTCACTCACCTTAGCCCTAAAACTTTCTCTGCACCTCACTCACTCACTCATGTACAGATACTCTCGCCTCATCACATGTCTGCACCCCTGCTCATCTATTGAAACTGACCCCACCAGCCCACTGAAAACCAACTTTTCAAATTCTCGTTTCAACTGTTTTTCAAGGCCAGGAGGTAACAACATACGTAAATCAAAAGGTTATATAGGCCAAGGTATGCAATTTCTAGCAGACCTGCAGCCTGTACTACTGGTAAACCGGTCACGCATCAAAGCTTCTTAGGCAGTAGATGGTCCAGCTTAGCACAGGCCAGTGGTATTTTCTGCTCTGAAATCAGTCGAGTGACTTTCTATAAATGCGATGAATATATGGCAATAAATGTTCGTGTGGGCAGGTATCTTACCCGTAGGCTTGATACTGATGTGATAAATAAGAAATGCGAAAGAAATAATAAAAATTACAAAGTAAATAAAAAATTCTCAAGAAGATAAGAACAGTAAGAAGGTTATGTAATAAAATTAAATAGTAATAGAATCCCTTTGAGTATGTTTATTGGATTTGATGATAATGGTGTAACTTGTCAAGATGGGCTTGACACAGACAATTAAACAATTTGGCGAAACCATTGCTGACAGTGTAAATGCATGGATTTATTATAAAGTAAATGTACTTTGTGACTAATAGAATAATAGTGAGATAAATGATCATGATGAGAGTCATTCCATGCCGTATGCCTCTCTGTCACCTTGGCGGTCATCAGCTGCAACAGTGGCTAACATGTGGGTGTTGTCGGTAGGTGGAAGACAAGGCAGAGACCCTGCAGAAGGAGCTGATGGTCACGCACCAGATGCTGACGGATGTAGAGGAGGACAAGGCAAGACACGAGCTGGAGTCAGTGCAGGTATGCAGTGGGGGTGGCGACATCTGCTGGTGATTATGTGAGATAATATCAGGAGTGTCATATTATAGACTATACAGTCAAACCTCGGTTATCCGAACACGATCTCAAGGTCCCGTGAATGTTTAATAAGCCACTAGACCACTGGTGACCCGTTGGGTTTATGAAGAACAGAGGTAATGAAGAATTCAAGTTAATTTCAATATTGCACCAAAATGAAGGTTTATTATGAGATAATTTAATTAAATATTTCAATCCATTCGTGCTATTTATAATTCAAGAAAAGATATTTGATTGTTCACTTTTACATTGTTTAGCACTGTAGGAAGCTAGATAGGTGGCGCGCGTTTGACGTAACGTTACCTCTGAAACGGTCTGTACAGTTGCTGACGCAATTTGCTTGTGAATAAAAACTCTGTAAACGTGTTTTTTACGCACATTAATTATGTTCAGTATGGCTTCCTTTACTTATGATCAGATCAGTTATCCGAACAAAACACACTCCGCCCGTCTCGTTTGGATAATCGAGGTCTAACTGTATTATATGACACTCCTGATAATACCTCAGTCCTGTGTGAAAATTCTCTGGCTTCTTGATGCATAGTTGCCATGGTGAGCTGCCTAATCGCATTTAGCTTCACCAAGGGAAACATGGTCTCCGAGGCTTTCAGTAGAATGTGACTTTGCCAATGGGGTGTTATTAAAATGCGTGACTATGTTTCCGCGCTATAATAACCCGCTAGATTATAAGACTGGCAAGTGAGGTAACTTTGAACAGAATTACGAGTGTAATAATGATGATGATAATGATGATAATAAATAATAATAATTATTATAATAATTATAAGATATCGTAAGCATGTTATCATGTCAGTAAATCATGATGTGGAGGTGTTAGTAAAACATGGCGTGGGTGTATTAGTAAAACGTGGCGTTGTGGTGTTAGTAAAACGTGGCGTTGCGGTGTTAGTAAAACGTGGTGCATGTCGTTGACAGCTGAAGGAGATGTGTCGGCGTGAGCTACAGCGCAGCGAGGGCGAGAACTCGCGCAACACGGCCATCATCGTCGACTACAAGCAGATCTGCACGCAGCTGAGCGAGCGACTCGAAAAAGCAGCAGACGGCCTCGCGGACGGAGATGGCCAGGATCAAGTAACCATGGCGATACTGACGATGATGCTAATGCTGACGATACATCGATGGTGGCGGTGGCATGTAATGGTAGTGGCGGTGCCGGAGGCTGTGGTGCTGGTGGTAATCTTTCCTGTAGTTCTAGAATATGCTACGATATGGACAAATGCAGAAATAGGAGGCCAGTGTGGTTTGAGACAACGACCATGATGATTGAAATTTCAATGCGACGTGATATCTTGTTAAAGTATCGCGTATTTTAATGCAGTTATATGGTGTCTGACTAACATAAGAGTATTAAGACATCTAACAAGGCTTGCCAGTGCACAGCCAGGGTATGATGACACAAAAGGCCGAATTTTAGCATCCCTGCACCTAGCGGCTTGTGCGATCCACTAGTCCGTTGCTGGGTACGGATGTTCATAACAAGCTGGAGCGAAAACCTGACCCTGGCTGACTGTACTGGCAACATATTTTATACAGAGACATGGTTAGTGATGTGACATTTAATAGTGATGCTGTTGTTGCTGGTGATATCTCTCTTTCTCTATCTCTCTCTTTCTCTTTTTCTCTCTCTCTCTTTCTCTCATTGTCTCTCTCTCGCTCGCTTGCTTTCACTCACTTCTCTCCCCCCCCCCCCACTACACACCTATTCCCTCGCCGCCATCGACCACCTCTCGGCGACTAGTTCATTACGTCACCCTTTCACCTTCTCTCTCTCTCTCTCTCCTAAGTTCACCATGATACAGTCGTGCAGCGAGTGCTCGCGCCTGTCTCGCCCGACGGCAATGCCGCGCGGCCGTTCGTTCGGCGCCGCCGCAAGAGAGGGCGCCGGCCGACACGACGACCGCGGCTTCGACGCGCCGAGGACGCGAGCGGGCGTCGGCGAGGCTCGGGCAGTACGAAGCGGCGCTCGTCGAGGGGAGTGCCGCACGCAGGAGCTGACGGCATCCGGACTCGCGCCGCCCACAGGGGAATGAGGCGACCGTTCGCCGCTGCTAAGAACACCTGGTTCCAGATAGCACCGTCTCACTCCGATCAAGGACGCGGTCGGCGACGACGGCGACGGCGCGAGGAGGAGGCGGGGAGGGAGCGGCGGCGGCGGGTCGCAGGTCGTATTGCGCAAGGGAAGCACGTCGTAGAGTGTGGTGGTTTGTGGTGGGTTGTGTCGACCCTCCTATGCACGCTAGGATGTGCGGGGGCGGGCGGGCAGGCGTGTTGTTTGTTATCGGTGACCTGCGGTGTCCATTCGCCCAGTGTGGAAGGGGAAGGGGTTGAATTATTGTAATCTGCTGTGTTTCCTCATGTCGTGTGCGGCGGGAAGGTGGTTTGGCTTGTTTTTCAATGCCTCTTTTCGCGGTGGCCTGTGCATGAAGTGGGATGGGGGGGGGGGGTTGGCTTTGTGTATGTTAACTCGGCCACATGCACACTCACTGCACACCGGCCCATGAGAGAGAGAGTGTTACTAATATGAGCGTAGCTGGATTTATAGCAGATCGGCATTTGCGAGCAGGGGTTGAGGTCAGGGGTCACACAGGCCCCTTGCTCCTCTTGCCCCGCAGTCAGCTACCGTCTCCTGCCTAACTGCCCCATAATCAATGGCGTGTCTTGCCACGTTTCCTACTGCATAATGACTGTCTCCAGAGGACAGGCCTGACAGAATTGCAGAGTGGTATGGGTGGCAGGGCGAGTAGCGGGACATAGTCATGACAGGAGTGGGATAGGGTGTCAGAACGACTGTGGGTTGGGCGTAATGCTCCCAGAGGTAACATTCCGTAACACAAAGATATGAGCGTAGACTGTGTGTTGGCTCACGGTGCAAACAGATGCCTATAGATGGATGAAAAATATTTAATAATATGTAATATTAGGGTAGGTGTTGTCATTGTCTGAAATCGTCAATCACTCTCTTCGCTCTCTCTCCTCACTGTCACTTCTCTCTCACTCTCTGATCTCTCTTCTCTCTCTTTCCACTCGCATGCTCAGCTCACTGTGAAGGCTCCTCTCTCTCTCTCTCTTCTCTCTCTCTCTCTCTCTCTCTGCTCTTCCTCTCTTTCTCTCGTCCTCTCTCTCTCTCTCTGCCTCCATCTCTCCCTTCTCTTTCTCTCTCTTTCTCTCTTCTCTCTCACTCATGCTCACTCATCTCAACTCTCACTTCTCACTCTCTCCACTCGGTCACTGTTTCTTTCTGTGTCTCTCCTCTCTCCATTCCTGTCCTCTTCCCCTGTTGGTCTGCTGTTTCGTCTCCATTTTAAATAGAATTTAGACACCTCGTGTAATTGTAGATTAAACAGAGTAGGTGGTGCTTGAATCACGGTTTGTGTGTGTCTGGGGGGGGGATTATTCCCAAAGTAACAACGACATGGAGAAGAATGTGAGGAGCTGTATTGTCAGACGAGACTCCACTATTCAGTTTTAACGGGTCATGGTGACATGGTGTTGCATGAGAGGCATCAGCTACGTTCTGATGAGGTTGTTATCATGAGTGAATTTTATATATATATATGTCTATCTATCTCCATGATGACAAGCTTCATCAGTCCGAGCAACCGATGTTGGCTGCAGTCGTGCATGTTTGTCGTGCATGGCGGAAACCATCATCCTAGCGTTCACAACGCGAAATATTTTTTCTTCACATCAATTGTTGATACACATATCAGCACGTGTGTGAGAGAAGCAACGTTACTATAAAGGAACGTGCAGGCCGTTGATGAGGACAGAGGCTGAAATATCACAAATACTTATACGATGCATCAGTGTATATAATTGTAATTACTTCTAGACTGAAGGTCTGGTGGAAGACCCTTTGAACATCATTCACTGATATATCCACGGTGTGGTGGTGTGAAATCATATTCAACATAGAGTTAGTTCCTGTTACTAAAAGGCTAATAACGCTCGTGTAATTAATGTTCGTGTAGATAGCCATCCAACCGCCACCTACCGTTTGATAATGGAGTTCCGCGCAGCTTTACGGCGAATAAAAGAGATATATAGGCGCGACGGCCTATATAAATGATTTTTCATGATGCAAGTCGTTTCGTAGCGATAATGCGGGTGCTTGAAGGAAGTGTGCAGAGGATGAGGATGGTTAGAATGACCTCGCACTTAGATATCAATCATGTGTATCGCGGTGTGTGTTACGGTTTGGGGTTCCTTGTTGGGCCGTAGCGTGCGTGAGACGAGAGAAATGTGGAGGGTGGTGAATGCACATGTCAGCCACGCTGAGCCGCTAAGATATCAAACGTATGTGAATTATAGAGCACTGGCATGATTATCAAATACATGTGTCATAGGTGAGCTCAAATAGCCCTATTATCTAATCGCCTGCTGCTCATCGTCAGTCGTCTGCAACATGTAACACCGTCAGGGTTTATCCTTGGATTCACAACGCACATGCACACACACGCATATATATTCAGATAGAGTTCTAGTAAGCGCGAGGATATACTATTGGCCGAATGAGTCACGCGCCGGATACCACTAAGCTCTCATGAGCCGAGCGGTTCTAATCATGTGACCGTAATTACTTAAGTAGTGGTGCGCGTACAGGGCCGAGGCGGCGTGGTGTGTCATTTAGTGATTGTAGCTAGCTAGCTACGGTGGGCCCCTGTCTCCCTACAGACCTAATAGCTGGGCGAGGCGCTGAATAGGTGCGCTCTGTTATATCCTCTTTGGCAGTGTTATAAGCTTACGTGGAGATAGGGCGCACCAACTGGAAAAACACCGAGTGATGAAAAACAATCGACTGTTGACATATTGTTTCGATGTAGCCGCCCGTTCGTATAGGACGGGGCTGAG